GAATGTCTTAGGGAATGTTTCATGGAATGTTTTAGGGTTATTACATGTATATATGTTTTGATGTGTAATAGAATGAACATAAGTTGAAATCAGAAAATATGCATAGCTTCCAAAATTCTCTACACTCTCCATTATCTCTACTCAACCTTCAATATTTCTTCCTAATTTGACATCTATTATCTGAGATATTCCTAAATTCAGGAGAAATTTTGATATGAGAATTTAGAGACAACCGATGATCGATTGCTCTGATACCATGCTAAAATATGAATATGGGTTTTGAATATGTTAGGTTCTTCTTTTATTCTTCTCCATAAGGAGGTATATATAAGAGTTTACATGAGTGCTTTACCAGGAATTAGATACAGTAAAGGATTAGGAAAATATCTCCTAATTATACAATGATTTGACAAATCTATAAAATAGGAAAGTAAATCCCTTAATTAATCAAGGAAATAAATCTCCTTGATTAATTAGGAGACTCACTTCAACAGCAGGAACTTATGGAGAAGATTAGTCTCAACCATGGGAGTATGAACGAAACTAGAGTAAATTTTAGACAATGCCATGTAAATACTAATTGAAAATTGGAAGCCATGATCAAAAGGCATGGCAACAAAACTACAAAAAAAAGGTAGTCATTTGCGACCAATTTTTTCTGAGGGACTCCAAATATCCTCGGAACAAACACTATTTCCGACAACAAAGTACCATCCATTGGAAATACGTCAATGAAGTGTTCACTATTTCCGTCACCTAAATTGTCCTCAGAAAAGAGTTCTTTTGCCGTTGGAAATAACTGATTTTTGGCGGAAAAAATTGGCAATCTGTCCTAACATCAACAGCTGACAACACAATAGAGGGGGAAGCTATTAAGTTCATTAAAAACAACAGACTTATGTCGCGTCAAACCCTAGGGGTGGGCATAAAAACCCTTGACTCAAACGTGCTTCGACTTTGGGGATTGAAACCTTCAAAAAACTATTGGACCTTTCGCCACATGTGATAAAATCATGACGAGGAAGGATACCTAAAAACATATCTTTATAGCCCTTCCAACTTTCATAATTAAAACCGATGTCCATCTTATTGAGCAAAACCCATAATCTCTTTCCCCAAAGCGTTCGTGTTTTGAGCGAGGAACCACTTTAATATGAACTTCTCGACCAAACCTTCCCAAGTAGTGATAGATCGGCAGTGACAGAGTTGAGCAATACCTTGGCTTTATCCCTTGGCTTTATCCTTCAATGAGAAAGGGAAAAGTCGGAGTCTAACATGTTCTTCACTTACTAATCCCATCGGAATGAAAAATAACACACATATGTTGAGGAATTCTTTCAGGTAGTTAAATCTAATAATTATTAACCCAAAAACTAATTTGTTTTCCCTTTTTAATGTCATAATTAAATTAACTTTAAATTCGACAAACAATTTCTATCATTTTTACCATCGGAGTGATTAATCATGTTCATGACTCATGATGATTAGCTGTAATCACAATACCGCCCTTATTATGGAGTCCCACTCTTGAAAAATGAATCAGGAGTCTGATTGCTGATTTTTTGCAGACCCCACTCTTGTTTTGATTCCTATGGTTAGGGGTGGACATCAATTCCTATAGTTAGGGTGGACATCAATTCGGCCGACTGACTAAACTGGCCTAAGCAAACCGTAATAGCTGGTTTGGTTTGATTTTGACCTAAAGAGAATTCAAACGGTTTAAAAAAGCAAACCATACCGTGATGGTTTGGTTTGATTCGGTTTTGAGTTTTGACAAACCGACCTAAATTGAACCGGACGATCTACTTGTATATTTATATTTATTTTATTTTATATTACATGTGCAGCCCTTTCATTCGATAATAATTATATCAGGATGTTGAATGTGAAGTTTGATGAAAGTTAAGTTATTGATATTTGAATTTTAATTATATTAGCATGTTAAATTTTAGGATGGTTTGATACACTAGAAATGAGAAAGAAAAAAAAAGGGCTTACAAACGGAAAAGGAAAAAGAATTGGGTTGGTTTGGTTTCCATCCTTACTTTTTCAATTACTGAATCGAACCAAATCGTTTTATCGTAATTGGTTTGGTCACGATTTTTAGGTGAAACTAATTGAATCTGGTCTATGCCTACCCCTGGCTCTCTTTTGAGGGATCCCTCAAATAATTTTATTTAAGAGACGCCATTTAGGGTACCCTACGATATATATATTTTTTGAACAATCCAAACCATCTATTTTTTAGGTCTTCATTCATATATCATCCTTGCAAAAAATTAGACAAATCGGAAACCGTTTAGACATCTAATTGTGTCCTACAAAATCAACGAAGATGGTGCTTCAAGAAAGTACTAAAATTTCAATAATTTAATTGGGTACTCAAGTGATATCAGATTTAAGTGATTTTTTTTGTAGAGATTATCTTTGAATGAATATCTACAAAACAGACAGTTTGGATTAGTGAAATACAATCCGGAGTGGGCATTACAAGGGTGTCCCTCAAATAAGCTTATTTCAAGGATCACTCAATGGAAGCTCTCTGTATGTATATATACATAACATGATATATAATTGATACACCCATACTAATACCTAACTTAATCGGGTTGTTAAATCTTAACACAAATTCTTGTACACAATGAAATCGGCAGACACGCTGCTCTTACGAAGCAGAATAAGCCGCTATGGTGAAATCGATAGACACGCTGCTCTTACGAAGCAAAATAAGCTGCTGTGGTGAAATTGGTAGACACGTTGCTCTTAGGAAGCAATGCTAGAGCATCTCGGTTCGAGTCCAAGTGGCAGCATGGCATCTTCTAAAAGAGTTAGTCCTATAATGAATTCAAGTCCAGATTTCAATTCCTATAATTGTGAGACCCCTTTTTAATAATTTTTATGATATTTTCAACTTTAGGGCATATATTAACTCATATATCCTCTTCTATCGTTTCAATGTAATTACAATTCATTTGATAACTTTATTAGTAGATGAAATCATAGGACTATATGATTCGTTAAAAAAGAATATTATATATATATATATGAGCTTAGTTAACGTCGAAAGATAATCAATGAACTTATATTGAACAGGAAAAACACATTGCAAGGGAAAATGTCAACAAAGCAAACGTCATTTGTTGCTTGTGTGAAAATATATAGATATACAAATGTTTGTTTCTGCATATAAGGAGGATGTGCGGTCTCCATGGGACACAGCAGCTTATTCACGTGGAATAAGTAGCAAACTCCGTCGTGGCCTCGTGTATGTTAATGCTTGACACGCGCTGTCTGCACTTCCAACTATTTGTGAATCTTGTAAGAAATCTCACCAACTCTATTCCTTTGCAGTTTCGACCTCAGCCAAACCCGAGACAATTTTTTGTTTTTCTTTTATACAGACAAGATTTTATTTTAATCTAAACTGTGGATAAGAGGATTTGAACTCGGGTATAAAATGAAGAGCACATTTATAGTAACTTCTGGAAAGAACCCACGGAGCATTTAAATGCATTTGAAAAAACTCTCATCTTTTATATCAACATTTCTCAACTCCAAGTATTCGAAAGCAAAGTTGGGAATTTTAACAATATATAACATGTTTATACAACGTCAAAGATAAAATGACACTAGATCATATTATGTTGCAATTGATGTGTTCTTAATACATGAATTATAGAGTAAATTATTAATTAAAAAAACTGTCACACTATAATGATCGAATTAATTTGGCAAAAAAGTACAATCCCTCTAGTGTTACTCAAAGTACGAAACTACAATATCCTCGCCTCTATGCATAAACATTCATCAGAGTGAGAGATAACTAATTATCATGACTTATTTGGGTCTCTATCTCTATGTTTTCCAATTGGATTTTCAACTGTTTTACTCAAATTCGAACTATAACGCTAGAATTAAAAAATCAGCCAAGTTACCATCCGAACTCATTTAAACATCAAATTTTGCCCTTATTGTCAAATTTTTCGAATTTCATCCACTTTTTCACATCCAAAAAATCAGGTGTCCTTCACATGACTTATTACTTGAGTTTATTATTATTATTATTACTATTAAAGACTGAACTCTAAACCTTAATAGTAATAATACATAAGGTTAAGCCACGTGGATCGCTCCCCCAACAAAGGGCACATGCCCACACGCAGTGGAAGTTGACAAGTCATTTTCACAACCATATCTTATTGTAAAGCATATGTTCATTTTGTAAAGAAAAAAACCAATATTTTAATTAACAAATGCTGAGATGAATCATGAAAATGACGGCTGTTTGTATATATAGATGACATGAATATCTCACTTTCTAAGAAAATTTGGCCAAAACGCAGCCCCAAATTAACTGATCATCGTACATCATGCTAGGTTTATCTCCTCCTATGTTTTCAACCATTGCATGGCCTTCAGAGGATCTCTTAAGTCATGACCAGAACTACTTCTACAGAGACAGTTCTATTGATCAAAGTGCAGAGTCCTTCCTTCATATCCTTCCATCTCATCAGCCACAAGTTGACCTCGATCCTTCCACTGCTATCAGCGGCGATTACTCCGGCGTTTCCACAATGGCGAAGAAGCTTAACCATAATGCTAGCGAGCGTGACCGTCGCAAGAAGATGAACAGCTTGTATTCCTCACTGCGTTCACTGCTTCCTGTCGATCAAGGGGTACGTACAAAATGATGATTTTATTAACATCGAACTGCATCAGTTTCCTCATTTCTCTTGTCAGATATTTGGCATATAATATATCGGCAGGGCAGACTATGAATTTGGACTGTGGATTCAAACAAAAACTCACCTTATCTACATGTACAGCCGGAATTAACAGTCTGACAACATATGTAACTCTATGACGAGGAAAACTTTTGGAGTATCAATTTTAAACACAAGAAAGTTATGAACACCGCGTAACTTTCTTTAATTCCATGTGATTGTTACAGAAAAAATTAAGCATTCCGAATACAATTTCGCACGTGCTGAAATATATACCAGAGCTTCAAAAGCAAGTGGAGGGATTAATTCGAAAGAGGGAGGAGCTCTTATCAAGAACTTGTAAGCAAGAAGCTGCAATGCATGAGGAGAAGCGAATAAAAAGCACAGCTCGGAGCTCATTATCTGCCGTTTCAACCTATCGGCTTAGTGATAGAGCAGTAGCAATTCAAATATCCACCTTGAAGACCCACAACAATCTATTATCTGAGATATTGCTAAATTTGGAGGAGGAGGGGCTTCAAGTTCTAAATGCTTCTTCCTTCCGGTCATCTGGAGGGAGGGTCTTCTATATTATACATCTTCAGGTATGTTAATTTTGTACAACATATATTTAGCTTGCTTCGATCTAACTAATTTGTTTACAAAGTGCCACAACTAACCAATATCTTATATATTATATACAGGTGGAACGAGCTGACAGATTAGAATGTGAGAATTTAAGCGAGAAGCTCATGTCCTTCTATGCGTGAGAAAAGGCAAGAGAGTTATTTCCATATGAATTTTGCATGTAAAGTACTGGTTGAAAGTACCCAACCTTATTTTTTTTGTCGGAATTGAGTTTCATTAAATAGAAGGTCAAAGCCAGATTACATCAAAATGAACTCAAATAATTGAGTTCACACAAAATGCAATACAAACAGACATAGATCACACTACAAATAAAACTAACAAAATGCATAAAGCACATGTAAAGGCATTAAGCCCACATAAAGACAAAGAGCCCACATAATGGCAAAAAGCCCACAAAAGGCAAAAGCCCACAAAACACAACACAACATTAGGAAACCCTAACACCAATAACAAGTATGTGCCGCACAATCCAACAGCCACAAGCCGTGCCACCAAAGCAAGCTGACAACCACCAAAAAGAAACCAGTAACCAACAGAAAATGGTGGTGAGCAAGCCACCCAAGCTACACCTAGTAGGAGTAGTGCTACCATAATCCAAGCAATAAGTGCTATTTGCACTTTAAGGGCATCCCAAACTCCATAAGTTCCACTGAGGATAAACAACGGAAGAAACATCCGTGGAGTCAAAGAGCCGATGATAGTGGTTAAGACCAAACGATGTGACACAACCTCCAACACTGAGGAGAGAAAATGCATTGCAGAAACCTGTAAAGAGCACAGCAAGCTCGAAGACTCCAGGAAAAGCACAGATCCAACAAAACCACCCAGAACGACCAAAATTGATAGGCAGTCCCTGGAGAAGAAAAGAGCTCGTAGCATTAGCCACCACCACAGGACCACAGGGCAACCGATAGATTGGGCAGACAGCTGAATCCATCAAGACCAACCCCAGATCCCAGCACAGGCTGGGAGGGGGAGGGAACTGGGTGAAAACAGGGGATTCAAATCCCTGATCTACAAAAGAAACAAAACCAAATACAAAGGGCTAAAACCCAATTAAACCACCAAAACCCAACCACAAAAATGCCCAGCCAAATCAAAAGAATAGGAAAAGAGAAATAGGAACAGGAAAAGAAAGCAAAGGAGGGAGGGGAGGAGCGGACTGGAAACTAGGAAGGAAAAGGGCGGGGAGGGAGGGGGAAATGTAGAGGCCACCCACCTCCAAAGGGGGTGGCGGCTAAGTCTTCAAAACTAGGATTTTCTTCCTAGAGAGAGGAACTCCCTGGTAACATCTCCACACCTATAAGAACATATGTATAAGTGTATGATTTATAAGTTATGCGTCAAACATTTTAATCTAACAAAGTTCACTTGATAATTATCCTAGATCAAATTAAAGAAAAATTGAATCTATTATTAGTAATCCATATAAGAGAGCATAACCTGCACCTCACATATCAGTAATCTGTCTTAAAAATATAACTGCTGACAACACCATAAAGGGAAAAGTAATAAGTTCATGACAAAAAGCTGGCCTACTCTGTTTACTAATTGGCTTTTCCTAGAAGCATCACGAAATGTTGAGCAAACCAGCATAAGGACTGTAAAACATTGATTGCAATCTGAAAGGTCAATCCGTAAAAAAATTATCTTGTTAGTTGAAGTGATCTAATTTTTTCACAGACATTTTTTATTTGTTGGTGGAATCAGAAGCTACTTCTTTTACCCCAAATCGCCTTAGCCTCAGAAATAGGCCAAGTACTTGAGAATGTCTAATACACTGAATGAATGAACAATAAATTGCGCCCCACATAATATAACCCTCTAATCGAGCCACTGTGAGTCGAATATACACTACTGCAAAAAACGAAATAGATGACGGGGATCCACCGTTGTTGTAATGCTTTGAAAACCGTCGTTAAATCGACCGCCATCTTTTTGGGAGTCAAACTACGACGGCTTTTCACCATCGTTATTTACTATAAAGACGACGGTTTTTAAAGAAAACCGTCATTGTTGTTATATAAAGATGACGGTTTTTAAGAACAACCGTCGTTATTTAGAGGTAAAGATCGTTAATTATAGGTGGAAAGACGACAGTTTTTATAAAAACCGTCGTTAATTATTTGTATAGATAACGGTTGTTTTATAAAAATCGTCGTTAATTATTTATAAAGACCACAATTTATTATAAAAACTGTCGTCTAATAAGTTCCCAAGTTATTACATTTTAGTTCCTTTTGGTTTCCTATGATGCTATACAACGATTTTAACTAGAAAACCAACCGTAATGCTTTATTAATGAATATATACACTCAAAAATAGTTTCATTCATAAAACTTGAAGATTCAATAGTTATTACATGGTTAACCAATCTTTAGTCTACAACAAACATACTTCCTACCAATTAAATATAAATATTCAATTGATACATGGTAATTAAGTAGTACAAGCTTTTCCTAACAAGACCTATGTACTCCTAATCCAAGCCTTCCTCATCCAAACATACAAATGATGCACAATTGAAGTCTCCTCCATCATCCCTGTAAATAAATCAAAATGACAGAAAGAAAAAAAAAGCTAAGATTATAAACAAATAAAATTAGTGAAAGAGAAATTTTACCATTGAACTATATTTCCATAGAAAACCAGTAAAAATGAGCATAAAAGGACCATAGGGAACCTGCAAAAGGAAAAAAATTATAAATAAAATGATGGTGAAAAGATATAAATCTGCAAATAAAAAAAGAAGAGTTAGAGCATGATCTCACAAAAGAAGCACGACAATAATATACTTGGATAAGCTATTACCTTCACGTGTTCATAAGGAGAAAAAGAGCAATACATATGGCTGAAAGTTGTCCAGGCTAGCAAGTTTTGCTCTCAAGTGAAAGACCATAATTGACGTTCAAAAAAACTGAAGAATAATTCAAACACACAAGGACTTGTGGGATGAAACAAATACACTTGGTGTTGTACTCTATTACTGCTTTTTTCCTCTTTATAACTTGGGGCATTGTGTTCATACCGCAAGGCTTTTTTCCCAGAATTCGATGTAATTGTACTCGGACTTGAATCGTTGGAATGAGCTGGAACCAATTTCATTTTTTTAGGAGTCATGCATAGGTTCTTTTTGGGAGAATTGGGTGGCTTTTTTGAGGGCCTGTTGATGTCCCCATAGTGTAGGAAAATTAAAGATATAAACCTGCAAAATATCACAGCCATAGTAGGAAAATTACAGAAAAATGATGAACGTTAAGTAAGGTGCACAAAATCAGAGCTATAGTACAATGATCAAATAACCTTTAAGTAACTAAATGTAGAGACACATATCATGGTTTTTGATCTGTAAAATTCGTACATTACAATATAATTCTCAAATTATAGAAAACTTCATACATTGAAACAAATCAAATAGAGAAATGTCATACATGATTAACTTCATTCAGTTATTGACATGTACTTTATCCACCACCCATATATCCTCACACCCAACTCTAATATTTTCAATCATATATCAGCATGCCACTTTGCTATAAACATAAATCTATAGAACCCAGAACCTATTTCAATTAACCCAACAATTTCAATCAAAATCTACCAATGACAAGAAATCTACAGAAAGAACAAAACAAAATAAATAAACAACGCATGAAAATAGCACCGCAACAACCAAATCAAGCAAAATGAAGGAACATGAGTAATTCTTAAAATATGAACAACAGTATTTCTTAAGGGAGAAGCCTTCCAATCTAACCAAACAAGCCAAAAAAACATATCTCTGACTCAGAAGAGGGAGAAGCCC